CTGGCTCTTGGTGCTAAGCCTTCACTCCAGATAGTCTGAGTGCTGTAGTGTCTGGGGGAGGGCATGCAGGAAGACCCCTCAAGATGGGCAGCCAGTGTATTGCACAGCTTGGAGTAATCATACTTTCATTAGATTGCAAAAGAATATCCTCCCAGGATACTCCATAACAGACTTCAAACTGCCCAGAGTCGTTTAATGAGATGGGCGGTGACAAATTTGATAAATAAATAAATAAAATAAAAGTTACTGTTTTGGAAAAACAACTCCATTGAGTGAGAAACTGATGAACTCACAAACATCAAAAGGTTTCAGGCAATCTCCAAAGGTCTCAACAAACACAACTGTTAATTGATAAGATACTTGTAACCTGTCTTACATGTAACCTGCATCTGCTTAACCAATTTATCTTCCCCTCCCTCTCACCCACACCTTTTCCCCCCTGCAGCTCACAAAAACTTAGCATTTTAATAAGAAAAGATGCTACTGACTCCTGATTTTTTGCCACCGTGGACTAACACGGTTCTCCTGCAGCAGTTCTCTTATTGATAAGTGTGGGATGGAGGGTAACGGTATATGCACTGCAGCTGGTCTTCAGTGCTTGGAAGTGGTGGGAAGAGTGAGAATTGGAGCAGGTTAATTCTGTTTCATGAGGTGCATGAGTTCATGTATGCATAGGTGAAATATTGCAATTCCATTGTAAGCAAGAGAGGCAGAGGAGAAGAACCTGGAGCCAGCTGTTAGAATGCATCATTGCTTGATTTAGATAACACCTCTGAAAGTCAGAGACCCCATCATATTACTCAACCCCCCTCAGTGTAAATAGCAAGATGATATATTGTCTGTAACACCTCCCCTCATAGCAAGATAATTCTTGAATCAGTGAAGCTCTTTGTAGTGCCTGACCTAATTCACTCCTCTGGGTCCCCTCTGCAAGTTGTGATTCTGCTTCAAGGTTTCATCAAATAGAAACAGCTCTTCAAATATTTATACAGCTCTGATTTTTAATGTTAATCACGTTGCACACATCATCCTAAAGGGCAATCTATAAAGATACTTATAAATAATCAATTCCATGATAAGTCTCAGTCAACATGTCTTCAAAATGTTTGTCAATATCCATTACTAAACTAATTCTCCATTTCTCTTGGCAGCTTGTGGGAGTTCCTTGTTTGGCAAAGGGGTTATCAGATCTCCCTACCTTACCAGGCCATTGTCAAAAGGCCTTATCTGTGAATGGATCATATCTGAACCTGAAGGCAATGTTGTGATTCTTAATTTCACTGATTTTCGCATCCATAATGTCACCACCTGCAATTCAGATTATGTGGAGGTAATGATTCTTAAAAAAAGAAAAGAAAAAAGAAATTAATCTGGAAACCAAACATTCAAAGGCCATGGCTATGGCTGACAGAGTCCCTTCAAAAGGCTTATTTATTCACATTTCATTTATATACCATAAGAATCCAAAGTCTCTAAACGTTACCAATGAAATACAGTTTGTATCATGACAGAAGGGGAAAAATAAACTCTGCTTAGTTAACTTAATTTTAATGAAATTTAAAATAATCAAATTTAGGCTTGGTCATTTTGAATTGATCCCTGACATGCTACTCAAAGGTCAAATGTGGTGCTTAGCTTGGAAAATTGAAATGTGGAGAAACCCTAGCATATATAATATGTAATTATTATTAAGATTAGAGTAGTGCCATAATTCTAACATATTTGCTCTGAAATTGATGGGATTCATATTTTGAGGATACACGCTTAGGAATCAAATACTATGTGGGGTTATACACTACTGTACATTGTGTTCAGTAGACTATCAGTCTAATAAGCAATAACAAGCATTGTTTTTGATAATAATTGACTTTGGCAAATGGTGTCCTAGTGGGTAAGGTGAAATTATTTAAATAATTCAAAATAGTATGGCAAGGTGTGTGTGTGGAATTTGCACTTCCCAAAAGAATATGTAGAATAAAACACAGATAGGAAGTCTAGTGGTTAAGGCACCAAGCTAGAAAGCAGGAGACCGTGGGGTCTAGTCCTGCCTTAGGCATGACAGCTGGATGGGTGACTTTGGGTCAGGCACGCTCTCTCAGCCCAACTCACCTCGCAAGGTTGTTGTTGTGGGGAAAATAGGAGGAGGAAGGAGTACGTCCACTGCCTTGAATTATTTATAACAAATAATAAAGGAGGAATAAAAAAATCTAAAAAAAACCCTATGTTTTTACAATATCTCAAACTATATCTTACAAAACAGAATACAGCCATACACAGGGAGAGATGCCAAAGGAACAGACAAGTTTCAGATAAGGCAGAGGAACATGGGATCAGACAGCTAAAATAAGATGGATAATGGAGAGAGCAAGAGAACATAAGGAACAATAAAACAATAAACCTTTGCTTTATTGTCTGAGCAAGGCCTTTGCCTGTGTGATGCCAGAATGTGGAATGTATTAAGGCTAATAATGTTCTGGGTGTGCCAGAACATCAGATTGTTCTTCTGAGGAAACTTTACAGTGAACAACAATCTACAATAGGAACTGAATTCAAAGAAACAGAGTGCTTCAGAATAGAAAATGGAATAAGAGGAACAGGACTGAGGACAGATGGTCTAAACACTAGCAACTGGAGATATGCAGATGACACTACTTGGTTAATCTGAAATACGGGAGATTAGAAGATTTCATTATGAAAGTGGAAAATGAAAAGGGAAAAATCAGGGTTAGTATTAAATATTCAGAAGACAAGGATAATGTCACCCTGCGTGGTTAGTGAACTTACACTTGACAATGAAATAGTAGAGAATTCTGTTTTATTGGGCTCAAAAATAGTTAAAGATAGACAGAGTGCTGGAGAAATAAAGTGAAGATTAATTTTAGAGAGGAAGGCAATGACAAACAGCAGAATCATGAAGAATAAGGATATTTCTATGACACGAAGGTCAGAAAAGTTAAAACCATGGCCTTTCCAGTGGTATTGTGCAGCTGTGAAAGTTGTACATTGAGAAAAAGTGAGAGAAAGAAAATAGACACCTTCACATTGTGTATCTAGTGACAGTTACTAAAAGTATTAAGGATTGTAAAAGGAGCCAATCACCTGATCTTGGATCCGTTAGATTGACTTTTCTCTTTAGAAAATGATCGGCAAGCAGAATCTTATCTATTTTTGGCATGTGATGTCTAGTTATGCTTGGCAAGGCTGAAGAAAATAAAAGAAAGGGAAGACAATAGGTAAAGAGGATGGATGAGATTCAAGAGAAGATTATCCTTGGACTGTAACTTGTAGTTATTACTGGAGATGGACTGAGGTCGTGAGCATCTATCCATGCTGAAGTCACCAAAGTTGAGCTTAGCTCAATGGCACTAACTTAGCAGTGCTAAGTTATCTTTATCTATTAGATAAAGTGTGCACAAAAGGCGTTCTGTTTTTTAAATCACATTAAAACGTGATTCTTCTTTCTTAAGAAGAAAATGCTTCCACAAATGCTTCCATTAAGCCAATTTCATCAAAATGCTTGTATGCTCATTCACCCAAAAACATTCTCATACGGAAAGGTGGGCCAAAATCATAGTAATTTCCATAAGTCTTTAAAATGTTACAAAGTGATAGGGAAATGGGACCAAAGAAATCTAAGATTGAAAAGAATAGGAGACAATGAGATTTTTCCTTCCCTATCCAAAGTCTTGCCATGAATGAGTCCCTGTAAATAGATACAGTATGTTTAGGTTACAGATATTTTCATGGGATCTGAACTTTTTTCTTCTGCAGATCAGAGATGGCAACAATGCAAATTCTCCTTCTTTGGGAAAATACTGTGGGGCAACTGTACCATCTGTGGTTCATTCAAGACGTAACTCTCTTTATATAAAATTCAGAGCTTCGTCTGGTACACATCTTGGCTTCATAGCTGAATACAGATCTTTTGATATAGGTAAACGCCGCTACCTTCACCAACTCTCCGTTCCCCTTGAGTTTGTCCCTAAATTATTAGGGAAAATGTAGTGAAATCATATAAATTAAATGTATATGCACTGTATTTAGTGCTGGGTGAGAGAATCTGTAGCCCTGCAGATTTCACATTCCTCACCTTTGACCATGCCAACTGGGGCTTCTAATTCATCAACCACTGGATGAACATAAGGCAACTTTATAACACCATAAAGATAATGTAATTTCTTTTATATGCAATCCTATGTATATCTAGTTACCAATAAATCCCACTGAGTTTAGAGACAGGCAAGCGTGTACGATTGAAGCATGACGTAAGTTAAATGTACTGTAGTCAATCTAGATCTATGAAATGCTTCTACAGTTCCATTGTTATATTCTGTTCTGATTAATATGCTGCGGATTCTTTTTTTGTCTTTTTTCATATGCTGTAGCATGTGGAGGGATTCTCACAGAGCCTGATGGGATTCTTGCAAGCCCTGGCTATCTAAACATTTACCCACATGGTATCAGATGTTTATGGACAATAATAGTGCAGCCAGGCAATTTAATTCATCTGACCTTCACCTATTTTTCCTTGGAATTTGGTTACGAATGCTACAGAGAATATCTTGACATCTATGACAACAGCACTATGACAAAGATAGGGCGGTATGTCTGTCTGTCTGTCTGTCTGTCTGTCTATATACCTATCTAGTAAAGCTATGCTGGTCTGCATTTTTATATACTCTTAACCGGAACTAATTCCCACTGAGTTTTGTGGAATTTCTTTTGGTATAGATAGCCCTTAGGCTAATCACAGTTATGTATACTCTTCCTGGTTTGGAATTATCTTTATAATTTGTTGTATTTCAAACCTTTAAAAGTCCACCACATCATGCACTGTTTCCATCTAATCAAAGCCTTGCCTCCCCTCCCCTCTCCCATGCAATGGGGAAAGGATTTTTTTTCCATGAAGGAAAATATATGGTGGGCAGTGCTGAGTTTCAGGATGCCTGATCCTGACTGAACCAAGAAAGAACCAGAGACCAGCCCTCACCAACCTGCACCAATTGGAAACCAGCTTGGCTGAAGATCAATCTGAAGTCAGGTCACATGGCTATCAAGACAGGAGCCCAGTCATTCCCTCCTCAATTGCCAGTGAAACGTCAGGAAATCTGTTGTCTAGGCCCTGGTGATTAAACCCTGAAACTCAACACTGCCCAACAAATACCAGCCATGAAAGCCTATGTGAGAATATATGGCTGTTCCAATGGCAACTTATGATATCATGGATGCTGCTCCTGAAATCATCCATCTTGTTGACTGAATCATGCTTCCCACCCATGATATATAAATGCTGAATTGGTAATTTGTGAGCACAACGGAATAAATTTAACATATCCTTGTTATCATTGATTTGATACAGGTACTGTGGCAGGTCCATTCCACCATCTATTACTAGTAGTGGCAACACTGTAACTTTGCATCTTGTGACAAATCACAACATGGCATCAAAGGGATTCTCAGTAAATTATGCTTCAATGAATGCATCTACAGGTATGACATTAGGAGTTAATTTTTTCATTTGAATTACAAAACTAATCTCTCTACTATAATGCAGTCTTGTGTATCTTGCGCACATTTTTAACACACTATTTTTTCATGTAAGCATTTTTCTGTGCTTTTGTTTGAATAGAAAACTGCATCGCAGCATTCTGAATAGTATGAATTTGTGCCTGCAAGTGTATTCAAATTAATGTGTAGGGTAGGAAGCTGCTAACTGGAGAAATACGTAGAACGATTTAGACACAATGAATTTCTCACCCATCTCTATTCATTTCGTAATCTAAGTGGGTCTGTGTATTAAAATGTATTAATTTCCTGAACCTGTTGATACAGTTTTAAACATTAAACCAAATCATAGCATGAGGAAATTGCTGATGCCAGCGAATAACTAACCTTTGATCGATATGTTAATCTGAGATGTGAAGAACAGATAATTCATATCAGATTTCACATACATCACTAGTCTCATCTGTTTAGCATATGATGGTGCTATTTTTTCAGTCTGCATAGGGTTTCCCCATGGCATGAAAAAGAATTGAAGAAATGTGATCTCACATTTCAACATACCACATCAGTGAAAAAGAAATCCAGCTGAGCATGTGTTCTGGAAACATGTGAGACTCTGTCAGTCCCTGGAGGTTTATAAATTATGCTTCTTTCTTACATTTATTGAAAAGTAGCCCAACAAATGCTTATTCAAGAGCTGAGCTAGTCAAAGTTGATACTAAATAAAAGGCGAGGTTGGTTGCTATTTTAATGGGTATGTAATGTCTTCTTGAGTGGACTAGCTTTATTGTAAATCAGTATTAAAGTAAACTTGCGATTGGCTAGAGCTACCAGATCTGGTTTGCAAAAATCCCAAATGCCACTAGATGGGAGCAAAGAGTTACATTTTTCCACAACTGTGAAAAACAATTTGAACAATTCTGAGCACAAAAGAGTCAAAAGCAAGCAGTTCTAAACAGATGTTTTTTATTCAAAGCAGCCATTTCACATTTGAATTGGGAGTTTTGTGAAATTTCATATTCAAAATGGTTTGAAACAAAATGTTTTATGCAAACCTAATTACCTTGAATCAAATTATTCTTCATTTTCTCCGTTCCTAGTTTAGCTAGAAGGTGGGATAAGACTAGACTGGAACAAAGACATTTGTAATGTGGTTGATACATCATCCAGTCATCTGGTTGATTAAGCACAGTTTGTCAAATAAGCCACTATTGCATTAAGCCATATATTTCACATATCAAGTGGTTGGTTTCATATAACATATTAAGCCAAACCAAATAAATTATATTACAGCTTAGTGAAATACTGGAATCTACTCAGTGTTTCACAACAGAGAATTCCATTAGACTATGACAAAAGAACCTGAGATTCATACAGTCTTAAGAATTGCAGATGAATATTCTTGTTTTTTTTTTCTCCATGCATTTTTTCTCTTTGGTGCCATGCCTTTTTAGATTGTCAACCTGAAGGCAGGGCTTATCAATTTTCCAAACTCACAGAAAAAAGCAGGACATCACAGCACATCTGGATCTACCATACACATGAGTGGGCAGACAAGCAAACAAGAAAAGGAACAGTAGGTGCAGGATGATGGTTAATCATTCCATCTCTTTTACTGAAGTGTATGCTATATTGAGAATCTTTCTAGATGAAATGCAGGATATAAATTTTCAAAATAGTTAAAATAGCTGAGATTTCTGGGACCTGAGCTCAATACATCTGAACAGCCTTGTGAAAGGCAAACATGGTTGGAGCCAAATTGATCTCCACAGGGATGATGTTCCACAGGGCAAGCACAGCAACACAAAATGTTTTCTTTCCAGGTCCCACCAGGGGCATTCTTTAACGCATGTGACCCATAACTTGTCTCTCCTGCTGGATCTGATGGGATGGGTAGATGTGATTGGGGACAGGTGGTCCTACAGCCCAGGATGTAGAAACCTTTGCAATTCCCCCAGGCATTAGGGGCCAACTGAGTGAGAGTCCCCCATTTTGGTGCTTGTGTTATGTGCTGGTTGCCGTTTTATATTTGGTATTTATATATTGTAATGGCATATTGTTATATGGTGGATTCCCCTCCCCTTTTCAATTTATTGATAGTTTTTATGCTGTACGGCACCCAAAGTCACATTGTTTGAGCTGGGTGGCCTGATACCTCTTGAAAATAAATAAATAAATAAAAATAAAATAGATGATCTTAGTTTAGTCTCTCTTTGGGAGGAAGCAGTTTTGCTTGCTTGGTTATTAGCTTGCACCTTTATTCTTTCTATCCCACAGAATGTTGGAAAGGAATTGTGTAAACGGAGTCAGGACTATTCATCAGCAGGATAATTTTTTAAAAAGTGGACAGAATAGGGCTAAATTTCCTGGGGGGGGGGGAAACTGGTAGAAGAAAGATGGAGTTTGAAAATGGGCTGGATTTACCTGGGAGCTGTGAAGAAAAAAAATTGAGGAAAAAAATCCATCAATTCATCCTTGTGGGAGAGAGAATGTTAGGCAACGGTTGGAATGTTGTCAACTCCTCCATTCTAGCCCTCTTGGTCACATGACCCAGAAAAGAGCTATTTTTAAGAGATGGAAAAGAATTCAAGAAGCTATGTCTGCATCCTTTCCCGGATCTTGGGGGGGGGGGGAGGGTGTGCGCACGCATGTGTGTTTGAGGTGTTTGAGGCCCAAACAGGCAGTTTTCCCCATTCCCTCCAGCTTGTTTGCATTTCTTTCTTTTTTAGAGAAGGAAGGCAGTGCTGGAGATCAGTTCAACCAATCTATTTTGATATGTTTCTTTGAGAATTGCAGTGGTCTGCAGCTAAATGAAGAGTATTTGTGCAGTTACCAGGTGCTAAACCAAACTTGATGGCACCCAAGTAACTAAATGATTTGCAACTATACCAGGCAAGAAAAATGTTATTGGTAGCGCATAGCACTCTGGGCAAAGCAATTATGACTGAAAGTCATAAAATGAATAGTTGCTTATGTAACTTTCAAACAGAGGTGTATTTAATGCTTTCTCTGAGCGTACTCGAGATTCAGTGGCCTTCCAAGAAGTAACATGTTCCTCTAAACCAGTGTTTCTCAACCTTGGCAACTTTAAGATCTGTGGACTTCAACTCCCAGAATTCCCCAGGCAACTTGGGGAATTCCACAGTCAGCATGGCCATTGATGAGAATTCTGGGAGTTGAAGTTCACACATCTTAAAGTTGCTAAGGTTGAGAAACGCTATTTTAAACTGATAGCCCTGTAATAATATTTACAGAAAATCTGGCAGTTATGAATTAGTTAGGAAATGAAAGCATTCCAAAGCAGATGAGTATCTAAAACAAAACAGAACAAAAACATGTCTAAAAATCCATGTTTACCATACCAAACAAAATTAGATGTCAACTTCTATTAAAATAAATACTTCTTTAGCACTTCAACCTGGAAGAAGCTGGCCTCCTTATTTTATAATAATATGAAGTCTGACCTTATCTGCTTTAAAGCCTCTGTAACTTGGTTTCATTGGCATGATCCATGCTGTGGCTTACAACAGAAGGATACTGCTTGCAGTATAGTAGACCAAAGGTGAAGAAGTTTGGGTCTTCTAAATATTGCTGAAGCACAGCATCCCTCTCTTTTCACCATGCTAGCTGGGGCTGATGAGAATTGTTGTCCAGGAAAATCTAGAAGGCCAGAGATTCCTCAGCCATGTCATTAAGAAACAGTTCCTTTTGTTGGAATGGAATTTGGTAAACCTTTAATATGTTATGAGATTAGAAATTCTAATTTTTGTTCATTTTCTAGTACTCTTATATCCCTTATGATAACCCTTCCAGGCAGTAGCCCAATCAAGTCAGACTTGGCATTAGTTTAGTATTAGCTCAGTGAATTCTTGTCTTTTTATCTTTAGCCTTTATCTTATCTTTCGCCTCTTATCTTTAGCCTTTTTATCTTTGTAAGTGTGGTTTTTTATAACTTGTAATCATGTGTTTCTGATTTTAATTTGTTGTAAGCCGCCCAGAGTTCCCCATTGTGGGGAGATGGGCGGGGACAAGTCTATTAAATAAATAAATAAATAAAAATAAATAAATAAATTTTCTGAATCTTTGTAAATAAAAAGCATAATTTTGACAGCCAAGATTGATAAGTTGCCATCTGGAATACACCTTTCCAAGATGGTCTGCCTAACATGTCTTTTGCAACTAATTAGAGATCTACTCATCATAAAGCAATCCTTTTTCATTCGTTCCAATGTCACCTTTTGGGCAATTTAGGATATACGTTTAAATTCCTGTGATTCTAATGAATACATTTAAAACAGGGGGTGAAGGGAACATCTGGTACTTTAGAGATGCTGTTGGATTCAAGTCTCAGGCAGCACGGTCATTAGTCAGGGATGACACAATTTACATCCCAACAACATGTGGAGATCCCCTGTCCCTGGCTAAACCGTGTCATGAAGGAAGATGATAAGTTGCAATATTTTGAAACACTAGAGAGTAATCATTTTTATTTTATGGATCTATATACTGTTTTACAAAGTATTTCCAGAAGTTGACTTAAAAAATTAAAATAGAAATAGTAAAAGAAGCTTGCTTAAGAGTTTGCCCTTCAAAAGCATGATTGGTCTGCATCAGTCACAGGGACTTCAGCTGCTGCTCTCTTGCTATTGCCACATTGGGCAGAACCAAATTTTCAGCTCATTTTTAGGTGGTTCCAGGACTGACAGAAAAGGGTCCCCTCTTCCTCCTAATGCCTCACCTCAAAATAGGAAAGTACTATTTTGAGGCATGATTTGCAGCCTTACAGCACACTTTTGACTTCTAAAAACTTCTTAAAACTCTCCAACCCCTACCAAGGGTCAAGGGTTTGGGCTCTTCCTGCTCTGGACTCTGGCAGCCACGAACAGGAGAATGGGCCACAGGTTGTCAACCCCATTCTGTACTTATGCATGATGATCTGCTCCTTACCCCTCCATTGGTAGCAGGCCAGGAGACTTATGTTGTCCATAAGTCTCCTGGCCTGCTAACTGACCATAAGCTACCCAGAGTCTAGCTGGAGACTTATGTTGCCCATATACACTTTAAAGAGGAACTACCAGCCTGCCATGGGCTCTTTTTTTAAACTGTACCCAATTAGATTGACTCCGACTCAAAAATTCCACAAAAGCACTGGACCCAGGACAAATGTTTTTATATCCATCCATCCCTATAATGGTTGGGAAGATGTTTTATTTAAAAAACAAACAAACAAAAAAAACAAGATACAAAAGTAAAATGTGAAACTTACAAATTTATATGTGAGTGTTTCCTATTGTCTCTATCTTATCGTATACTCTTTCTATTGCTATTATACAATTATAATTTTCTCTACACTGTGTTCTACTACTATTACTTCTATACTATTACTATTATAGAGCAATGTTTCCCTCTTACAGACCCTGTTCTGTCTTTAATTCCTCTCTGTCTGGGATTTCTTCTACTTTTTTCTTCTCTGTTAACGGCCAGCATGTAAAGCACTTGCACTTTCCCACATTGTGCTTCGCCGTGCCTCTTCTTTTTCCTTCGGACCATCTATTCCCTTTGAAGGAAAAAATGTCTTCTTATATTGGGCTGCTTTACTCTCTTTGCTGGTGGCTGCAGAGCTTCCAAAACACGTCTGTCACCTCCCACACCTGTTTCAAGGTTGTAGCTTTATTGGTAACCCTGCCGTGGTGATGCTGGGGAGAAGGCTCAACTGGGGGGGGAGCCTGCAATTTTTCTAAGCAGCCCGCTCTTCCACACAATCCAGTTGAGAGTAATGTCCACCATGAACAGATCTGCCTTCTCCAGTGAAGGCCAGAGAAGCTCAGGGTAGAAGATTTTACTTAGTGTTTCTTGAATGAATGAGCAACATGTGGAAATGAATGCCATGCTTGGCCAATGCGTGCTAAAAAAGGATAAAGATTCATTTTGAAATGGCTTGGACTAAATGTTTCTAAACAAGCTAGCTTTTGAACTTGTCCACAAAAGCTTGTTGTTTGCACTCCTCTTCCCTGAATTGGTCAGATTAAGTTGGTTAATTATGTTGCCTTGTGCCAGCAACAGCAGGATTTCAAGTCCTAATAGCTACTTCCATAGCCTACAGAAAAGAATATGTTATGTAGCAGATGCAAGAAAAGTTGAAGGAAGCTGCAAATACTAGTACAACATGCTAATTCTCCAGGGAGCTACAGATCTCCCTTGACTATGAGAGATCAGATTTAAAAAATCCCCACTGATGCAAGAACCTTCACTTGGCATTTAGAGTTAGACTTTTTGCAAAATGAATGTTTCACTTTTGGGAAACAGATGGAAAGAAATGTGCTGGCCTTATTTTTCTAGCTTTGTTGTGCGAGCATAGATAAGTAAAAGGCAACCAAATGGTGTTTTTAAATCTTCTGTTGACTGGCTGGTGTGGGTCTTCCGGGCTGTGTGGCTGTGGTCTTGACAGCCTTCGACAATACATTGAACACTTCTGTTGACTGTTTTTACAGTTTATCATTCAATAGTTTCATTGGCCTTTCCACTGTACAGCTGACTTGACTATTTGGATTGACTGGACTGAAAGCCAGTTAGATCTTGCCATTTTTGCATATTGATCAAACGTTTGTGTCTGCATGCCATCTAATCACTCTTTTCTTTCAACATGTAATTCGTATGTTGAAAATGAATACAATAGAAGTTTTTCTATGTTTTTATTAATATAAACTCCTATGGGGCTTCCCCCCTCCCCAACAAAGGGTGCAAAATAAAACTTTTCTGCCTACTTCCTAATTCACATTAGGAACATTCAATCCAATAGCTGATGCTGCATTGCCAAAAAGATTTTCCTTGCTTCAGTGGGAAGCATGTGAAACAGAGGAGTTACTGTAATGGTTTTGGATGGAACTGCAAGGAAGAAAACTAGCCAAACAGGATGTTCATATTTAATCTTTTTAGTCATTTGTATTTAAACTCTTCTGGCCATTGTACAATACTGACCAAAATGTGTGTACTAGCCCACTTTCCATTGCTCCTTAGATTTCCAAATCCCTTCTTGAGTTCTGTGGAGTCTCAAATATTTTAATCAGAAATCAGCTGATTCCTTCTGGGAAAGTAGAGAGGGCAACTAAATTATATGGCCATATTATTATGAAATGATTATGTTACAAGAGAATAGGAGGCTCCCAGATAAAGCCTTTATAGCACCATTGTGGGCATAGGCATCTTTATATGAAGTCCTTCAGAACACACTGATGTATGAATGTAGCATTTTTCTGCATTTCTTTAAAATGCTAAGTCTTTCCCCAGAATTGTGTGGCTGCCCTTCACAGCTGAGCACAATGCTGAGAACAGATGCAGCTGCTTTGAAGAATGACAGTCAGATGTTACATTCCTCCTTGTGTGCATTAAGAACCACCTTTTTGAAATAATATCCCAAGCACTGTGTAATCCTAATAGGAATCTTCCTTTTATAAGTCTCCCCTTTTTACCATCTCTACTTGGGTCTTCTTTTTCCTGAGGAGGGGAAAAAGCAAAGTCTTTTGATGAAGAGTCCTTGGAGTCTATCTGGAAACTTCCTGAATTTTTACAAATAACATTAAAATAGGACTGTTTGCCATGGGAAACCCCAACTGAAATTGTTTTTTATACAAGATACAATAGCTTTTTTTTAATGGCAGAATCAGAAATTCAATGCTTGTAAGAGGATTTTAATTTGGTGTTGGAATCGTAAACTATTGGGACAAGCAGTTCTTTCACAGGATCACTTACTTTAAAAAAAAATGTACTAAAAGAATGCCTTGAATTGTCAGGGAAGCCACGTGATCAAGAAGAGTCTTCCACTTGAACTATGATTCAGCTTTTTACTAGGTTTGTGAGCTTCCAAGGTCTGGTATGTCCTTCCGAGCCAAGCAGAAAAGAAATTCTAGAAAAAAAATCTGATTGAAGCTAGGAACCAAGTTTCTTATTCTCTCCCTAGCTCTTGTTTAATTAAAAAGAAAAATGCTCCCCTTTTCTATTAACGGTATGTGCCATTAAACTGAAATGATTTTTTGCATGAAACCTGAGGCATAACCTTCTTTGTCCCTTGCTAATGCTTCAGCTTAAATATATATCTTAGTTGAGATATTAACAAGGGACAGTCTGTCCTTTATTTGTTTTCATCGAGGAATGGGACTGACACAAAGGTGGTTTTCAGTTCTATCTTTTCAGCAAGATCCTGATATTCAGTGTATTATTATCGTTGCTGTGGGTCACACAGTCAGCCAGATGTTTAGACCAGATTTGGCATTTTTATCCACCTATCAAGTCTTGCTGTGGGTCACACAGTCAGCCAGATGTTTAGACCAGATTTGGCATTTTTATCCACCTATCAAGTCTTGCTGTGGGTCACACAGTCAGCCAGATGTTTAGACCAGATTTGGCATTTTTATCCACCTATCAAGTCCTTCCCAAGGACCTGGGATAGGCAGATGTTGTTTGATGGTGTTAAAGGTATCAACACAGGATGTAAGCTGTTCCAAGTAAAGCTGCCTTTTGCAATTGACTGGTGGTGATTTTGTCAGTGCTAATGGTGTCCAGGTGGTGCTCCAGATGTTTTGGGATTGCACCCAAGGCAATTATTACTATTGGTATTATCTTTACTTTCTTTTGCCACAGTCATTCTATTTCAATTTGCAGGTCTTAATAATAATAGTAATAATTCATCACTATATTTTCTATTTCTTTTCCAGTATGTTCACATGAATACACAGTAGCCTCTGGTGTGCTAACATCACCAAACTTTCCAAACAATTATCCAGGCAGAATGGCATGCATATACAAGATCCGTGTGGCAAACAATAAACAAATTGCTTTGCATTTCACCAATTTCTCTGTGGAGAGTGGAGCCATGTGTCTGCATGATTATCTTGAAATCAGGCAAGTTGGTTTCCATGGTGGCTACATTTATACCATCTGAACAGTTAACCACTTCACTTCATGGAATGTAAGCCAGGCAGGCAAATGTATAGTAACTGTATTTGAAACTGCTTTATGCTGTGATAGTATTTTACCCCCTACCCCATGGCAACCTGGAACTACCTTTAGGCTCTCCAGAACAGGCATGTAAAAGAAGTTAACCAAGGAAGGGATTAGGAGCATTTCTTCCCAAAGGAATTCACAACCAGATCCACATGTTACATATCTGTGAAGCTCAACTGATGTTCATCCTTTTCTTCAAAATACCCACAGAAGAGCTAGGGATTGCACTTAATTTTTTTAAATGCAGAGAGATCTTTCCCAGCTGTATTCAATCTTCTAAAGATCTAGTGTGTTTACAGCAGTACTGACTGTTTGCATAACAGTCTCTTCCTTTTCCTCAACTGCCTGTGTAACGCCATCACATTTAATACTACATTGTCTAACCTGCCCTTGCTAGGAGCTTTAGATAAGCTGGGAATTGGAGCCAAATACTGTCATATGAGCTAATTATGTTGGTGATTCCAGATATACCGTTCCATCCTACAACAGGTTTTCTATTCCCATCCCTAACAGTTAGCCAACATTCTCTGCTCCAGGGTTTTAATCACTTCTTTCTGCATTGAAAGAGCAAGGATTTTTTGCTGACATAAATGTTGGCAATAGGGAACTGAGATCACTATGAGTGCATATGATTTAGTTAGTTAGTGATTGGTGCCTTCGAGTCAGTGTTGACTCCTGGTGACTGCCTGGCCAGTCCCTGCAGTTTTCTTGGCAAGATTTTGGAAGTAGTTTGCCATTGCCTCCTTTCTAGGGCTGAGAGAGAGTGACTGGCCCAGGGTCACCCAGGGAATGAGTGGGACTAAAACTCACGCTCTCCTGGTTTCTAGCCTGGTGCCTTAACCACCACACCAAACTGGCTCTATGATAGGTATAGTCTTCATCAATATGTTTACCTCTCACTTTTAGAGCATCATCCCACCAATAGTAAATTTGATAAATCAGTTAAGCATTGTTTTTTGCCATATATAATTTTTATCAAGAATTTTGATTATAATAAAATCTAATACAAAATAAACTTAAATAAGGAAAAGAGAATAGAAAGGAGTAAAAAGTGCAAGAAAAAAGAAAAGAGAAAAGAAAGAGAAAAGTAAGGATATAATAAAGAGAAAATAATATATAAAGAAGTGACTTCTGACCTTCATCACAACAAGTATAAACAAATTTAGTGACTGTTCACCCCCTCTAAGGTTACAAACATCTCTTCATCCCATATCCCATCTCTTATCTATAAACAAATCCATAAAACATCTTCTCAGTCCTGTTGTCAGCAGAAAGTTCATAAAGGGTTGCCAGAGGTAACAATATATCTTGTTTTAACCTTGATCAAATAAACCAACTTTATATTCCTTCCTTTTACATCTAACAGTCTTAAATCAGTTTGGACTTTCTGCTATGTAAGCAGCTAAAGAGCCAGTTTGGTCTAGTGGTTAAGGCTCCAGGCTAGAAACCAGGAGAGTTTCTAGTCCTGCCTTAGGCACGAAAGCCGGCTGGGTGACTTTGGGCCAGTCACTCTCTCTCAGCCCATGATGTCAAGCTCGGGCAACAAGCGGGTCAATCAACTCCTGTTGCAACCAACAAATCAACATTTGGTTGATCCAAAAAAAAAAAAAAAAGAAAGAAAAGAAAGTGGACAGTGCACCTATGAGAAAAATGCTAGGAAGAAAAAAAAGTAAAAAAAATTGTTTAAGCAACTCCTTTCTTTTGTCTGTCCTCAGTCAGTCTATATGTAATAAGAATGAACATTCCTTTTCTCATATTCTTGTACAGTCTTTTCTAACCTGATGCCCTCCAGATAGTTGGCTGAAGTTTATAGAAATCGTATTCTGTAAGGTTAGAGGTAAAAGAAGATTGTTGTTCCAGCAACCTAATCTTAGCTATAGTTAGTTAGAAATCAGTCCTATTCTTTCAGCAGAACATGCTTTTAGGCAAATCTTTCTTGTATTGCAGTACAAATTATTTTGATTTTTTCCCTTTTTATCTAATTTTCTGCATGATTTTTTAAGCATAAAAATGTTTAACGAGAATTTTGTTACTGCTAAGCCAACCTCTCTAGTGCTTTGTAAGTATAGTCTTATTAGGGATCCAAGCTTTCATGATTTTTATACCTTTATTTTTGTCTATACTGTTTATTTTTGATTGCAGAGATGGAGGCTATGAAACATCCCCCTTACTTGGAAAGTATTGTGGCTCCTCATTGCCTCCTGTTACCATTTCCCATAGTAACAATCTGTGGATAAAGTTTGTGAGTGACGTATATTTAACAAGTACTGGATTCTCAGCTTACTGGGATGGAACATCAACAGGTAAAATCAAAATACCAAATGTATCATGTTATTTCTCTAGCAGGTAGTAAGAAGAGAAGATATCGATTTATTTCCTCTTTCCTTGGCCATTTTCCTTGATTTCTTTCTTTCCTTAGCCATTACCACCCCTCTTTAACTCTTCAACCTGGCCTATTGAGATCTGTGGGAGAAGCCATACTCTTCCTGAAGTGGAAAAGGAACAGGGCATTTCCAGAAGTGGACTCACAATGATAGAACACTATCCTAAGAGAGATTCATCAGTGTATGATCCTACAAAGGTTAAGGATTTTGACAAAAATTAAGGCAGAAGAAGATATTCCATTCCTGGGCTGCAAATTTAAAATTTGGCTCCTTGTTGCCAAATGCCATTGTTCACCATTTTTAAAATAAGTTGTTGTACATTTAAATTCTAGAAATCTTCAAAAGGTTGCTTTGCTGGAGTTTCAAGTAAAGGTGATCAAAACAATTCTATTAAGCACAGCAGTGTCTCATTTCTAGTCAGCCAAATGGAATGACTGGGTTGCTTTGCTCAGGAATAGCAGCTTGTGTACATGTACAGAAACCCCAGTTTGTCAAGCAAGGTACCCATCAAAGCAGACTGGCCTTGTCTTGAGGCTGTACAGGGACCAGGTGACTTTCCTCCATGGGACAAAGCATTTTGATGAAATAGGTTATGGATGATCTGGAGACCTCTATTATATGCTTGATAGTTCATGGCTTTAGGTCTGTTCCAAGCATATTTACCAGTTGGGTTGGTATATAAATTGAACAGATAATAATTTATGTCCATTATGTTCATTATTGGAAGGATTGCTGAGGGAAAGAGATGAACAATTGACAGGGAGATATCTAGACATATGTACATATTTGCATCCTTACATTTCTCTCTATAGCTGTCTGTATGGATATTAAGAAAAATTATGACCTTCTGTTGGAATTTCTTTTCTCTAATTTCTGCAGTGAAGTTATCACAAGAAGTTTCTGCAAGAAGTTATCAATGTACTGAAAGTTAGAAAAAGTGTGCACTTAACCTAAAACGTGATCATTGATAATTCCATTCAGAAGTTTGCTAAAAGTGAATACAGCCTAGGGTATACTAAGGACCCAAATAGATTTGACCAATTGTCATTGAATTGGAGTTTTGTACTTATGTTCAGGTTGTGGTGGAATCCTTACAACTTCTTCTGGAATGTTCATGTCTCCGAACTATCCTATGCCATATTACCAAAATGCAGAATGCTACTGGCTGCTGAAGTCAAGTCATGGAAGTGCACTTGAAATCCATTTTGATCAGTTCCATCTGGAGTCTCATACATATTGTCGCTTTGATTATCTTGCTGTAAGTGCCTTCTTTTCTCTGAGTAAGGCTGATAATAGCTAATAGTAATGGCTGAAATGTTGGTGGTTCTAAGGATATGAGATGTAAAAAGAGAAAGTATATCAATTGCATAATCCTTATCTAAGGAACAATCTGTGCAATATAACACTTCCATCTTGGAAGTAATCCAAGATCTATATAGCCAGAGGAAAAGAGTATTACACACAACTGCCAAGAAGAGGTACAGAAGGAACAAAAGTCTATGATTTCCATGGCTAGAAAAAGTATCACTATGATATCAGGATGATATTTATGGATATCAATTACATTCCCCATTTTTTCATTCTTTGTCAGAGGACATGAGCCTAGATACTAAACCCCCACCCAACTGAAGACTATTGCATGGGGAGCAGGATAGCATTCTATATATAACACTTCAGCTTCATCCCAATCTTCCTAGAAAAAGAGGATGCCAAAAAGAATCCTTTCAATAATTTCCCAGTTGTTAGCTTTATAGATTGCTAAACTCTTGGAAAGATGGGACTATAAAAGTGCCTGTAATCTTGTCAGATGGAGCTGTTACTCTTTAATTGCTATCAGTGTTGGGGGTTGCCAATAAAATAATGTAAGATGTAGGATAGGAAAAAGGCTGTCTCCTCTTTTGGCCTGGGGAGAGTCTGCTCTCCTGTCACCAGTTGCCCTTTCCTCTCAACTCTAACCTTTTTCGTAGAGGGAGGTCAAGCTTTTCCTTGGAGCAGGGATGCACATTGTTTCTCCATGTGCATATGCCCCCTTTGGTGTCTAAAGATAATACTGTATAAATAGAGGTCTCTGCTTCTTTGTACACAAAAATCTTGTACTTCAAGCTATTTGTAAAATATTTTATTGTATCTGAAGAACGACCAGAAATGACTTGACAAGATTCATACCCATATTGAAAATGCTATATAAATGACCTCAATATTTTTCTTAGTATTTTTGGCATCCTCTTTTTCTAGGAAGATTCAAATAAACTAGATTGGGAAATCAAAATAAAATTTTACATATTTATTATTAAATGTATATTCTCACCTTTCTTCTTATATAAATCCTCAGGGCAGCTTACAACAGGAAGACGCAACATTTAATTCACAATAGTAAAATAAATACAATTGAAATCAGAATGAAAATAATATCATTAAAATCAATTCACAGTTGAACACTTTGCGAAACAGATGTGCCTTTGCAGTTTCTCCTATGAAAATCTTTATATTTCCCAATAACTGCAGGTGTACGATGGTGACAGCAGCAACAGTAAAATGTTAGGCAAATTTTGTGGTAAGCAGGTGCCACCCACAATACGTTCTTCTAGCAACAATTTGTATATAAAACTAAGGACAGACCGGTCTTTAAATGGAGGAGGTTTCCTTGCTCATTTTAAGCAAGGTAAGTCCAACCACTTCATAGATATTTGCTGCATCTTTAAATGAACATCTAGAATCCTTTTCCAGTGCAGATATTACATTTAGGATAACGTGAAAGACGAATGTAATCCTGAACTGCAATCAATAAAAGAGACCGGGCTGATCTAATGATTCTCCCATCCTTTCTATTAGAAATTCAGGACAATGTGCATTTGTTCATTCCACGTTATCATTGTAACAACAATTGTGTGTGTGTGTTTGTGTGTCTTCATGTCAGCCTTGATTCCTGACAATTTGGCAGAAGCGGTTTGCCTTTGCATTTTTCCCAGACTGAGTCACTGTCCCAAAGCCCCCCAGGTTGGCTTTTGTGCCTAAGGCAGGACTAGAATTTAACAGTGTCCTTAACTGCTACTTCAAATTTTCTCTCTATAGCAGTGTTTCTCAACCTTGGCAACTTTAAGGTGCGTGGACTTCAATTCCCAGAATTCCCCAGCCAGCCATGCTGGCTGGGGAATTCTGGGAGTTGAAGTCCACGCACCTTAAATTTGCCAAGGTTGAGAAACACTGTTCTATAGTGTTAAAATGGTCATGGCACAGGAGCCCCAACTGATTCACGAATTATGCTGTACTTGAAAAAAAACAAAACTCTAAATAATCCAGAGTTATTCAGACTCCTAGTTATCACCTTATGTGTGGGCTGTTCTTTTCTTTTCAACCACATATTTATTCAAACCACAAAGTCCCAAACCATCAGAAAACCTTTTCATCTGCAAATAGCTCAAAGCTATAACATCATTTCAGATAGCCTAGATATTGCCTTTGCAAACTTGTCTTTCCAAATAGACATTTATTGGGAGTATGGAAGGTGGGGAAGAATTTGTTGGAGATGATCTCTGAAAATGTTTATGATCCTTTTTGGAAAATTATTCTTATGTTAGAGATTATTTGCCTTCTCCAGATTTATTTCTGGCTTTAGAGTCTATATGGATTTTATTTTAAAATTAAAACCTGTATCCTTTTTTTGTAAGGACAGGGTATAAACACTAACTACTGATTGAACCTACTGGTACCAATGGATGCTTTTCATGCCTAAAATGGGAAACATAGAAAACATAATATAATTTAATGTTTTTTCCCCCCAAGTTTGCCAGGGAGTAGTAATTGCCAACCGTTCCCAAGGCATTTTGGAGAGTTTGGGCTACCCTGACAACTATCCTCCAGATGTATATTGCAACTGGACCATCCAAACTACAGCTGGTAACACCCTGAGCTACAGTTTCCAAGCACTTAGCACAAAAGGGGGTGAAAGGTGTGAACGTGATCATTTAAAGGTAATGGGAGTTTGGGAGTTTGAAATAAAAATGTTATGCTATATTTTGAAATATGGTATTAAATAGATCACCCTAAGTGAGGGAATGCAGAACTCTTTTCTGTTCCTTCCAAGCCTGAGGATGTAGCAGTTCCATTATCTCTAAGTTCTAATCAGATGATAACCATTCCATAACTTCCAATTTCTGGCTGGGGAATTCTGGGAGCTGAAGTCCATACATCTTCAAGTCACCAAGGGTGGGAAACCCTGTTCCAGAAGGATCTGCTTTTTGAAGGCTTCCCAGTAATTACTGAATGCAGGGGGTTTTATTGAACATATAACCCCCCCCTCCCCTTGTTAGTCAGCATTGGTTTAGGCATCTGATTCTTAAATAGTTAAGAAATTTACCATCAGGCCATCTGAAGCAGAAGTTAAACCACAGTAGTAATCTACAGGATGCAAGAAGAAAATACCCTCTAATTATAATAAACCTCAAATGACTAACAGACTGTTTTTCCATGGTGCCACCAAAAGAGATGGGGGAGGGGTCTCAGACAACCAAATCCCAAAATGAGTGACTAATTATTTATTTTTAGTTGTGCATGTTTCTCAGCTGACACACCCTATCATGTCAAAGCAACATGCCTTTTTCCTGTATCACAAGAAAGCAATTAATTACAGTCCTGCAGCTATAGACTGTATTGATCTATCATAGAAGGGGGCAATCTGGTCCCACTCCCAGATGTATAAACCCCAGCCGGTGGTCAGAAATAATGGGAACGATTGCTACCATATCTAGAATGCTCCAAGTGGTTTATTCCTGGCATGGCACAATCCTGTTTTTTCAACGTACACATTTGACTCATGGAGTGAGTTATCCTCAGAGGAAAAACAGCAACCTTAACCAGGTTTAGTGATTAGGAATTGAACGGGAGGGTTTTCATCTGCTCCCCCAAGTAATCCCAATGTAAGACGAGGTAAGAAGATGTATAAGAGAGAGGTAAAGGAACATATAATGTCTGAATAACTAGCATGCTTGTGAATGAGTCTGCCTCTATATCTGGCTCTACACTCGGCGCTGTCAGCCCCGCTGGGTAAACCAGGCCAGAAGACCAACTCCACAGGAAGGCTAAAAATGCTTTTACTGAGATTGGTTATCATAACAGAGCCTTGCAAGTCTGATTGTATTGTACCTTCTCTTCCTTCTCCTATTTCAGTGAGTTCTGAAGATGTCTGCCTAACTCGCTTCCAAATGTTAACTTGTTCTGAACTTAAAAATGTTTCGCTCCCTTTTGACTAATGGTTCCTGCATAACTCCATCAAAGGCATCTTCCTTACTCTCTACATCAGTGTTTCTCAACCTTGGCGACTTTAAGATATGTGGACTTCAACTCCCAGAATTGGGGAATATCTTAAAGTCACCAAGGTTGAGAAACACTGCTCTATGCTATCCCACTTATGATCAACCCTCCCCTTGTATGGCCCCAAAGGGTTCCACAAGTTTAAGTGTGTCCCTACCCAAAGCAGCTTATATTCTTACTTTAACAATAAATTAGGGGAGTAAGGGGACTGCTTCTTTCAGTTCCATGCTCATTCTTCATGTGCTCTTTCATCTCCGTGTAAAGTGGTATTGGTATTTAAATATATTCAATGTCTTTTCTCACAAAATATGGTTTCCTAAGCATATTTTCTTATATCATAGAATGCAAATGTTGATACCTATTTTGATACACATGCTGAGAATTATATCACAAAAGCCAAAGAATAAAGGCAGTCAGAACAAAATTCTTAAGCATCTTTTACAGCATGTTATTATAGCAGTACGCTTTTCTCCAAAAAAATTCTCGTTTCATATACAGCATTCAGCACTATATTCTGGTTTCAGCAGTGGAGTGGAGAGGCTACCACCCCACTATGTTTTTAGGAACATTCAAAAGTTTTGAGTTCAAAATGTTGAGTATCCCAAGCTCAAAACAAATTGAATGTGAGTCAAAAGTTTTGTTTCATGACTGCCACAATCTTTGAACCCATTGCAAAATATGGCTATTTCATGCAGTGTTATTCCAAAAGTTCTCATCAAAGGAAAGAATCCCAAATGGGCCGTTTCAAACTTGAACCAGGTCATTTTGAGCGTTTCAGGGGTTATGTGTTCCAAGTGTTTTGTTTCAGGTCAGAACAAAGCATCTGTACTATTTTGATTTTTATTCCAGTAGAATCCAGCCATCTTGGATTTCAGTTGGAATTGTTCAAGAAGATTGTTTGACTCCCATCTTTAAGCATGTTTCTAGTTCATTCTAATTCATTATTTTGGCTTCATTCTATGTCCATTGTCTTCTCTGCTCCACTATACCACCAAGTAAAGTGTCCAAAACTGCAGCTCTTGCTAACGTATCCCCTGACACCCTTCCCAGTTCTGAACTAGCCTAACCATACTAATCAACAAGACATGACTGAGAGCATCTTTACTTTAGAAGGCGAATAGCCAAAAATAGTTATAACTCATAAAACCTTAGATCATATCCGTATCATCTGTTCCAATACAACAGGAAGTTGGAAGAGGCTTCTTGACTGAAAGAGTTGCCACCACATTTTGGGATAGGGCTCTTATGCTTTTAATGACAAACATGAAATTGTGGAGTTCTTGGTGCTCTCTGAGTTTGAGTGTTTGCTTATAGACATTACCCAATAGATAACGTCATCAGTGTGAGGCTGCATATGTGTGTCGCTACCTCATATAAACAGGGAGCAAACCCCACAAGTAGCAACCCTAGAAACTCCCTTCCTGTGTTTTAGATGTTGTACAGTAGAGTTGCTCTGTTCAGTATGCATAATGCATATTGAATACTTTCATCCCACACACTCCTGCTGCAGAATAATAACACAGATTTTATTTTCACCTTTTGCTTGGAACTAGCATAGAACCCTTTTTTGCTTCAGCAGCTGTTTCCAACTGGGTTGCATTTATTGGTTAGATTTATTTCCATTTCAAAAATATCATTCATGAACATTGGCATTCTTTAATTTTGGTTTCTGGACTTATGTTTTATGGGAGTGGGAGTTAAAGTCTGATACAGTATAAATTCAACCAATGTGTTTTATTTTTCTTTTTGATTTAGAGAACTTCACTGGCAGAACCCTATACCCAGTCAAAGCCTTACTGCAGGAAATACCACAGATAACTTTCATGGTTTTTGGAGTAAATCTGCATTTTTTGGCAGTGACATTTTTCTCCTTCAAAGCAGAAAAGAATTTATAAATAATTCATGTAGTCCAGTCATGCTGATGCTCTGGTTTTGCTTCTCACCACATTTATCTTAGATTAACAGATTGCCCAAATGAAGTGTCCTTCCTTATGTATTAGACTACAACCCCCATCTGTCCCAGCCAGCACTGCCAGGTTGGGGAAGAACGTTTTGGACTGTATCATCGATCTCTAATGGAAGAAAGAATAAGAGCTAACATTTGTTGAGATAGCATACAGTACAAACTGGTTGGTCACATAAAAAACTTCCACGTTCAAGCTCACGGGTGTATATTAGTCATGGGAATGGCCTTCTTCCTTTAGTTGACTGCCCAGTACTCAGTCTTCTTTTCCACACCATCACACTGCTTTTGGACTCAGTTCGAGACCAACATTAAGGAAGGATAATTTCATTTGAAAGGTGGTCAGAGTTAGATAGCCAATGTACTGGGTTTATGAGTGTTAAATATTGCTCCTATTGGTCTCCATGAAGATGGACTGTACCAACGCAAAGGAATGGATTGATGATAGCCACGGTGGCACAGTATTATGGTCTGGGCAGGCAAGTCTCCCTGGGGCACCAGGCTTGAACCTGGTGGCTGGAAAACGAGTAATTTCTAACTCTGCATTACATTGGCGATGTGCATAAAAGAAGAGGGCTGGATTAGCCTGGGTATCTTTTCCATGAGGAGAAACAATTCTGACACTTTCTCTTTTGGAGACCAAGTTTAATGTCTGAAATATAAATGTTAGAGAAATGTCTGCCCTACCCTTCTGTAGCCATTACTTTCCATCAAAGCTCTCAAGCAAGATATAACACGCGGAGAGGTGATTATCGCAGACCCAAGTGCAATGGGATGGTCTCCTGCAAATACTTTTCTGAGGACTGAATAGCCATCAGGATATTCAAGACAGCACAGCTGTCTTTCTTCTCTAAGCACTGCATAGTTCCAGCAAACACATTCCACTCTAGCTATTGTCGAGCTCTTTAATATTTACAGCTGTCTTGTTTTCAGTTGGATTTAACAAGGTCTTCACTTGGGAACCAAGCTGGAAGCAGTGCAACATGAAGTTATTTGTGCGTGTGAAAAATAGCCTGCTTGCAGAAGGACTGTATAAAAAAGTGATCTGCGTAACAGTGGGAAGAAAAATGGCCTTTCAGCTGATTAAATTAAGGGAGGGAAAACTTGAAGGGGAAGGGTGTTTTCTGGAACTAATTATTGCCAACACCAGATTCTTTTGACTTTTGAACTATCCCATCTCTCTTTCTTTCTCTCTGCCCCACCCCCCAATGCAATCCTGCTCACAAACTAAATAATCTCGAGTGAGAAGTTAACGCAGAACTGGAGCAATATTTTCACGTACTTGGAGAGTTTCTCTTTCCTGCTTTTTATTCTGACTGAGCAAGCCAGGGATGTATCTTGGAATCCATAGCTGCAGTAATTGCAAATATTACTGGTGTCCTCTTTGGGTGTTATGTCATTTACACAAATGGAGGGGGGAAATGCATGCGCTATTCCTACCCATTGCCATATCAACATATCCATTGTTGGCACCTTTCCTGCAGTAGGAATATACAGTTCTCTAGCAGGGAGACTCCTCACTGCAAAAATTGACCTTACAACAGTTGAAAGGCTATGAAGCCAGTGATGGAGATACGATGAAGAGCATGGAGCCGTCACTTAGAGAGAGAAGATAGACATAACCATGACCCTATTTAAAAAATAGTCAGCATCTCACAGATAAGTCTTTTCCACTTCCTTTCAGCTTTATGATGGGCCCAATGCTCAATCCAATTTGATTGGCATATTTTGCGGAGATAGTGATCTCCCATCTGGAGGTACCACGAATTCCAGTCTTCATGTGGCGTTTTTCTCTGATCAAATAGATGAGTCTACTGGATTTCAGATGCTATGGAAAGTAAATGGTAAGTCATGGTGATATTCTGGCAGTAATATTTTCTGCCCCAAATCAGCAGCAAACCATTCTCTGAATTAACTCCCTAACATGATTCTTTTTTTAATGTGAACTGCTGTTTTGTTTTTGTTTCAGTTTTTAAAATTTTGTTTTGTTTTCCCATTAAACCTGCTCATGTTGTGTCACAGCTCAGCTCACTTTACGTGTGGCCTTTGGCCATAGTGATGTTTGGTTAGGAAGAAAAAGGAATAAAGTGTGGTGCTCACCCAGAGAAAGACTGCCCACTCTTTAATTAGGAATACAATGATCGCAGTAATGTTACATTTTAAAAGTGTGACAACCATTATCTTTCTTACAGATTTATATTAGGGCTGCCAGCAATTTTTTTTAAAGAAAAGAATCATGACAAGATAGCTTTGAGCCGAAATGCCCTTCTTTCATGTTATTACCTCAGCTGGAGGCTGTAAAATGGGGAACATTTTAGCTGATGTTGGCATTGAGAAACAAAATTTAAGCACTGGCAGTGCAATCTTCCTCCACCCAGAAATGCTTGAAGACTGACTGTATCGCCATGATGCTATGCTGCTGGGGGCGGGGAAGGATTGTGGTGGACAGTAGCTGCCAAAAAGGGTGCCGCGCACTTCTGCCAACACTGTAACACACGGGATGGCCCAGAAGGATCTCTCTTCTTGCCAGATTGGGCCAGAGTGATCAAAAAGTTGAATTTCTGGTAGACCAGCTTCATACCCACAGAAGTACAGGAGAAGCTTAGCATGTCATGGTGATGAATATGGCCACCTGTTAATGTCTGAGCACATCTGAGTTTTGTCACTGGTAATGGGGGCTGTTGGAAATTGGACAACTCTGCACCCTGGTGTAATTAATACTTCTGTGCAACGTGGAAGCTTTGTTCTGCTAGGCAGGTCCACTGACAGTAGCATTCTTTCTCCATTTTAGTTCCCAGAAAATGTGGTTGTATAAGGGTTTGTTTGCTTATTGTTCATTTATTCCAATTTTAGGGGTTATATCTTTCTTTGGACGTGATGTACGTTTTGTTATTTTTGTTGCCCTGATCTGTCCACTAATCAAAATTCTCTGAGTAGAATCACCCAGCTGTGTAAAAATATTAAAATAAAAAGATGATCAAAGCAATTAGATGCCATAATCAGTGACACATGAAAGGTATTACAAATGATAAAAGGTATTATATTATTATCCCACAATAAGCAGGCAATTAAAGTCAGACTAATCTAACCCTACAAATGGCTGGAAGATATGGAATGCTTCAACCTAGTGTTGAAAAGATAGTAGGCATGTCACAAGTGGAGGCCAAAAGTGAAACGTTTCTGTCTCTTGCAAGCACCCACCTAACCTCATTTGAAGAAGCATCTCTGAGGATAAACAGAGTGTTAGGCAAGTACACAGAGCTGGAAAAGTACATTCTCCCTTGAGCTTGACTCCTAACTATACTATGGACACCAACAGAGGCGAATATGTGTAGCTCAGGGTTGAACTGTGGAGTCCTTGGCGTTCTCTGAGCTTGGTTCTTTTCTTGCAAATGTTTCATTACCCAGCTAGGTAGAACTATACTATGAGTTTTGTCTCTCTGTGTGTGTGTGTGTGTTAACAACAGTATGGAGGTTGGTCATCACTGCATTCTTCAGGGATGCTTTTTTCAACCCCCCAGTCTAGTCTACAGTTCTAGGAATTTCCTGGTGGTCCACCATCCACTAGGTCCAAGCCTCTGGAAACATTTTCAAGTTCAACCAAGATCATCTAGGTACCGTACCTCCTGTGCATATTGGGGATCAGGTCTCCTTAAAAAGTCAGCATCCAAACCTTGGAGTGGGCCTGGAAATGGTCAGTTATTTGTAGGGCTGTGACCATCCCTCAGGACACGAGTACCATAAGAAACACACACTTTCTTGACCAAACAAGAATTAATGCAATTTGATCAAGATGATGATCATTTATGCTTACATCTGCCTTTTATGCAGGTCAGGAAACATTAAGGTAGCTTTCCTGATTGAGCTATGTAAGGGTAATAGTCACATAATCCTTGCAGAGAATGTGAAGCTGATGGAAACAATAATTAAATTGCTGCAGCTCCTCTTTCTGCCTAATCACTTTGCATTATTAAATTTGTGATAGCGAAGCAGCTGGAATCTGCCTCTGGGTCCTGCCAGGGTTGAGCTGTTAAATTGTATGGTTTATTACTCAATATCTGAAAGGGAACCCCTTTCCAGGACAGCCTTACAAAATGCAATTATTTGCCATCTCTTTCTCTCTCTGGCTAGACTGGTCACATATTTCGTATTCAAAGGGCATGTGTGGGCAAGGGGGAGGTTAGGGGATCCTGGCAACATTGCTGGGAAGAGAAGGCTTTATGGGAAGCAAGCCGTTCTGCTGACATTCAGCAGGGAGAAAATGTAAAGGGAATAAAACTAAAGAGCTCTGAGATGATGTCATCCCAGACCCACACAAAGAAAAGCGGGAAGCTGCTTTTCTCAATGGAGATGACATCATCCAACCCAGAGAGGAGACTCTAGAGTCTTTTATTCATGTGTAAGTGGTTTCCAATTCTGCCCGTTCCCTAATAATAGGGAATACTCTGTCCTCTATTATTTAAAGCTCTTGCTTTTCTTACATTTTTGAATCTCAGTTCAACTCTTCCTCATACACCCTCTCCTAAAGCAACATGCCCTCTGTAGAGCTATAGAGCCATTAGAAACAAATGAAAAAGAATACAGGCTATATCTAATCCACGTGTTTATTATGCTTCCTATAATGGTCTAAAATGGTATAAGGTCCTTTAACCTTGCATCAGGCATAATGCTCATAATGACAACACTGGGTGCAATGTGATAGACAAACACACACACACACACACACATAAATACACACTTTATTATAAAGAACAGTATATAGAATAATTTTTTCATAATAAAATGTCTGACAGATCAGTTGTGCCTGAAGGAAGGTTAAACAGATTTGGAAATGATCTGGTAATATGTTGTCCAGGCATTCAGGAGGAGCGAAACAAACTCCTGACAGCAATCCGGAGCAGGAGGTGAAATTCAGATAAAGACCCAAATGCCAGCCTGAGGCTCCATTTGGCAGTCTTGTTATCGCTCCTCAGGGGCCCTGTTCCCTGTTTTTTTTCATTAGCAATGCTTATCCGTTGCTTTTCCTTGGGCTGCAAGCGTTCTTGGCTGCTCACCAGGAAACAGAAGGGATGTGAAGGTGAAAAGAAGAGAGCTTTCAAAATCCTCAGGCATTTTGCGCTTCAAATTCCTCTTGGGCTTCCTTGTCATCATTTCTACAATGATGGTTGTGTTAGTGCCTTGTGGGAAAAATAACATTCTTCTGGCACGGGAAAGATTAACAAATTTATCGTTGCCTAAACTTTTGTGGATCACAATTCACAATCCACTTTATAAATGTTTTCTTTAGTTTGGGTTACAATTGTTCTTTCTTTAAAAAAAAAAACTTCTAGTTTTTAGCAATGCAGTTTTAACCACCTTTACATGTTTGTATTTTTGCTTCTGTATTTTTCTTAATCTGTCGTGTATTTTTTAGCTGACCTTTTGCCAGAGTAGTCTTTAAGATGTCCTCTGTGCAGGCATTGGCCATTGACTGCACCTTTTAGCTAGCTTTGGCTCTTCTATTTAGATTCAGTGTTTGCTTCTGATTCTTTGTGTTTCTCAACATGGACAGGAATGCTACTTTATTGTAGGATATATTGACAGAATCTTAAAAGCCAGAGTTTCCCTCTGCTCGCTTTTATACCAAACAAGGTCATGGCAGAGTTATTTTAAGTGTCTCTCACACTCCCTCCTTTTCCCAAGACTAAATTGTCTTTAATTTTGCTTTAACTGTTCCTACATACCTTCTTCAAGGTTATCTCTGCATTCCTGTACGCTTCAAAAGAAGAAAGCCTGCAGAATCATTCAAACACATTAATTAGGAAGTTATCCTGCAGGAAAGGAAGTTTGTATGTGTGGTTTGCATATACAGCTTTCCTTTGCTACAGACCTTAATGGAATGATCGTGTGACCACTGAACACTGCATGATCATTTGACTATTTCAGGAAGTGCTCCTGTTTTAAAAGTTGTATACAGTAAATGGTGTCTTCCGCTGCACGTGAAGTGAATGTAGTAAGAGAAGGTCTTGCAAATATCTCATGAACTTAATAAGATAAATCATTTCTTCCACACGTAAGTTTTTAAAGAAATTCTTTCCCTCTTCCCTCTTTCATTCCCCTTTTCATTTCATCACAATCACATGAGTTGGCTGAAAAATGCTATTTAAACAATTGGCACAGTATTCATGTACTATAAGCAAGATTAGAAAGATAACATGCAAGGCAGAATATTTTCCCCAATTTTTTCTCTTTCCATTGCCCTTCCCTCATGCAACGAATTGCCATCTCAAGCCTAAAAGATAGTTTGGGAGGCGGATTAATTTTCAGCTGGAAATGCAACAGGAGCAGGAAGAGATTAAAAAATCGCTTCAAGTGTAATGTTTCCAATTTTACTTGGGCCTCTTTGTAGTTGCTATTGGGGTGGGAAAGGTTTCTAAGCAATTTTGGCACAGATAAGCAGGCACGCTTAAAGGGGACTTTGAGACCTTTGGAAGCTATTAAAAAAGGAACCAGTTCTCAAGTTTCATCAGGGTTTTTAGTCACATCCCAAACTTTCTTGCCTAGACCCAAGTATCCTTTTGCCCTACAACCTTTTGCAAATGCAATACTGTAAGTCTTTTGAAGTGAACTAAAGTTCATTTCAAGACAGATCCAAGTCATGCTTTATATCTTTGTTATAGTCTTATGTCTCTGTTTGTGTCTAGTTTTTGAAAAGTTATCTCCTTTGTTGCAACAAATGGCAAAAAGTATTCTTTGTTTAATGGCAGAAAAGTCAGATCTTTCTCTCTCCTTGCTGCCAAAAATATCCCTAATCCTACCTTCTGGTTTTGCAGATAAATACCGGTAGAGAAAATATTTTTTTACC